ACCAACCTCACGAAATCACAACTCTAAAGGGATTCGACGTGGCACAGATTGCAACTGGCGATTACCACTCGGCTGTTCTTGATAAAACTGGACGTATTTTTGGATTTGGTGACAACTCATTTGGCCAGCTTGGGATCGATACCGACTTTGGCCTTTCGGTTTCTGACACCCCTGTAATGATTCCTACCAACCTGTCTTACGCGGGCACTGGGCTTGTCCCGACGGTAACGTCCATAGCGGCAGGTGGGAACAATACTTTCTTCACTGTGGATGCGAAGGCCACGACAGTTCCTGGCAACACAAAGGCTCTTGCGCCAGCGAGAAGGCTTCCTCCTGTGACTACAGATCTGTGGGCTTGCGGCCAAGGAGTGTACGGGACACTGGGCACTGGTCGATGGTCACACGTCTCGCCCAAGCCGACCAAGGTGAAGGGTCTGTCATCCCTGTTCGAGTTTGACGAGAAAACCAACAAGATGAGCCCCATTAAACTCAAGTCTCTGTCAGTTGGGGCCACTCACTGCTCGGCTGTCATGGACAATGTCACCGAAGTCTCGGTCACGGGTCAAGGGACCGAGAACGAGACCAACTGGGGAGCAGACGTCGTATTCTGGGGTGGCAATGAGCACTATCAGCTTGGCACCGGAAAACGAACCAACTTGAACGCTCCAGCTTATATTGCCGCTCTGGACAGCGCAGCCGATGCTCGTAAGGAGGGTTCACCAGACTTCCACCGGCTGTCTGTGACTCCTCGCAAGACAATCCGTCTGGAAGGTGGAAAGGGCCGAAAGGTCTCATTGGAACAAAAGATTGAGTGTGGCAAGTACGTGACTGGCATCTACTCTGCCGTGTGAAGCGAGTAGCAGGGCAAACAACTCAATTTGTAAGAACAGGCTCGCCTCATTGTATCATAAGAAACATGTAATCGACGGATTGTATCCGCACGGATATGATTGGGCGTTTGGGAATGGGATCATTCAGTTATGACTTTAAATGTTAAATTCAACTTGGGCATATTCCTTCCAATTAATTGACTGATTAGCTCAGCTGACCTAACCTGAAAGACCCAGATTGGTCTGAAGGGTCATATGAATGGCTCACACTACTTTCTGGGAATGAAACATAGGTAGGTAGAAACACGTGAATGATACGAAGTTGAGACATTGTGGAAACATGCCTGAAGTGGTTATTTTTCCAGCAATAGCAATGACAGTTATGATTTAATGAAGGTGATGATTGGCCAAGCTTGGCAGTTCCTTAGGCACATATTCACAATTGTATTCGTTCGCAATTTTCGTATGAACACCCTTGGATATCTTCCACTTACACAGAGGTTCATGAAAAGCAATGTGCCGTATGTATGTATTATGAACCATTTAAGTGGAAACTGGGGAGCAACACGAGGATTGATCATGTTGATCAAATCGATGCCACGCAAGCAAATGCCGCTGAGTAATTCATTTCAAAATCGAGAATAGAACAGAATGAGGCACAGATCGTGGAGGAGCACGGGTAAAAATGGTGGTTGATAGGGAGCTGATTGCCAGGATAAGAGGCCCATCCTCCACGTCATTAACCCAACATGACGGGATGGGCCTTGAGACGAAAATAGAAATCCGTCGACAACCAACGGAGCAGCCGCCACGCAGCTAAAATAATACAGGGATGAGCCACTTTACAGTGTTGGAGAAGAAGAAGAAAAAAAAGAGTTTTTACTAGACCAGGTACAACACTTGAGTCCCTGCAAACTATTGACTCTACATTGGCCTTGAGATTACTTAGATTTGAGTGCATGATCGGCGACTGATGCACAGAAACAATGAGCGCGTGTCCGAACAATGGATGAAATCTGTCAATTATCACGTCGAGACTAGACCATCGCTTGCAGATCGTTCATTAAAGGCAAAGACAGGGCAAGGTACAGCACTCCCGATACAGGAGAGGAGAGGAGTCAAGTTACATCAGAGTGCGTGCGTGCGTGTGCCTGTGCTGTAAGATAAGATATTCTTGGAACAATCTCTTCCCTTTCCCCACGTTGAATGACTGACGTCTGAGTTTGAGTTTCAAGTCTCTCTTGGTCACGTCACGTCACGTCACGTCGCATCCCGTCGTTGCTCTTTTTTTTTCTTTTCTTCTCTTTCGATTTCGAGGTCCTCGTGAATATTTGGTTGACTACCTACTACCAAGGTAGACGCAATTGTTCTGCTCTTACAGTCATTACAGTCAACTAAGAATCAGTCTCCTTTCCTCTTACTCTTACTCCTTTTTATTTTTAACCTTTTGCCTTTATTTTACCCCTTGACTAAGATACTACCTACTACCTCGGTAGGTAGGTAGCTTAGGAGGTGCTTGACCTTACTCCTTCCTCTGTCTCTTACACCCCAAATCTTTCCGTTTGCGGTATCAACTCCACTCACGTCTTCTCCTTCTCCTCTCTTCTTCACTTCAGCTCCAACTTCTCTACCTATTCTTCTACTTCTACTTCTACTTCTTCCGCTTCTCAACATATAACCCTTGTAATATTTCGCCTCTTCTCACGATTTCGCCATCGACTGCGCCTGCGCCCCTCCAAAGACCACGCGGATCCGACCCCTGCCTGCCTGACCTCCACCAGCCAAGAGGGCCCGACGCTATTCCTCTTCTTACGCCCAAATCTCCGTCGCCTTTGCTTCTTATACTTGGGCTGTCGCTGTTGTTCAAGCCTCTGGTGAAAACCGCGACGAGCACCAGCCTCAAGCGCAACTTCTTCCGGGGATATTCACACCTGTCTCTACCCAACCCCGACGCCATGGACAGGATCCCCAAGTTCAGGCGCAAACCCAAGAACCCCACGATCCAGACCTCCGTCGAACGCTCCAGCAGTGATACTGTCGATAGTATCGCCAGTACCGAGTTACAGGCTGCAACTTTGCAGTCGCAACAACAGGACGGGCAACAAGTCCTACCACAAAAACCCAAGCTCTCAAAGAGGGCCGCATTCCGAAATTTCCGTTTGCGCGGCTCCACAAAGAGAGCGCGCGACAGTCCACCCGTCGAGTTGCCTTCCAGTCCTCCGCCGGCCGTCGTGAGCCACGACGGTGTCAAGAGTCGACCCGTCACGGCCGAAGGCGATGCGCTGGCTAATTCAAAGGGGTCTGGTCCCCGGATTCCTGCCTTTTTGGAATCTTCGATGCAGGGTATACAACTCCCAGACGTGGCGCATTGGTCAGCACTGACATTTATAGATGTTGATTTTAAATTCCAGGAGTTGACGTGGGCGGAACGAGACCGAGTTCTTGAGGGTACAAAGAATGAGGGGGATGAAGAGTTCAAATGGGGAACTTTCAAGCAGGTTGACACCCAGGAGAAGGGTGTGATGGATCGCTACATCAACATCAAGCCTTGGAATCATAACCGAGTCAAACTGCAGGTCCCTGAGGATGAACTTGACTATGTCAACGCTTCCGAGATCTCTCTTACCTCGCCTTCCGATCCTAGCCGTGAGCCGTTGCGATACATCGCCATGCAAGGACCAACGCAGCCATCAATCGACTATGTCTGGCGCATGATTGCGGAGCAAATGTCTTCACCTGCCGTTATCGTACAGCTGACAACCATGGCAGAGGGTGGAGTTGTCAAATGTCACCAATACTTCCCCGATAACCAAGATCACCCAATCTGGACTCTGAACGAACACGATGCGTGGAACGATGACTGGCAGGCCCAGATCACGTACGATTCTTTCGAGGAACTTGCTGACGGCGCTATTGAGAAGCGCAAGCTGCTTATGCACCTGAAGGATGAACAAGAGCCCCGAATCGTGTGGCACCTTCTGTATAGACGATGGCCTGACTTTGGGGTTCCCGAACTAGAAGATCTCGATGGTTTCTTTGAACTCATGCAAAAGTCTCGCGAGCTGAGCGCGCCCGAGAACCCGCGAATCATCCATTGCAGTGCTGGTGTTGGCCGAACCGGCACTTTCATTACGCTCGAGCATCTAATGCGCGAGCTAGAACTGGGCACCTTTGAGAAGTATGACGAGCCAGCAGAGGGTCCGGATCTGATCTTTGAGACAGTCGACCATCTCCGAGAGCAGCGTGTTGGCATGGTTCAGGGCCGTCCTCAATTCATGTTCATTTACCAAGTTATGCGGAAACTATGGCAAGATAAATATGGAGTCGATGAAGAGGGCAATGAGCCTGCAGCTAAGAGGCTGGAAGTTGGCGATCCATTCATAGATGACTCGGTATCCGACTCTACGCAAGCCAACCACTAGCATCGGGGTTCCGAGGACTGAGGCGTGATAATGGAGTCTGTTTATCTGGCGTTAACTGCAATGATTTGGCGGAGTTGCGGACGGGAATGCATCTGGGTTGGGCTGGGGCTCGATAGCTGCAGCAACCTAATTTTACGGTTTGGGGATGACACGCAAGCTCTCAAATATTTGTGTTGGGAGGAAGCTGATGTTTAAGTGTTACCCTGTCATGAGTCAATCGGGTGCATAATAATCTGCTTTGCGCAAGTGTATGATCAAGCACGGCAAGGAACAGGAACGGGACTTGAGGGGTTATGATAAACAAACATAGAGCTCGCATCTCATCATGGGGAGATGACGACGGTACAGGAATAGTCAAGTCAAGTCAGGACGATATGACTTGGGGGAGGTTTATCTATTATAAATGATACCAAGCGCACGAACAAGGGGCTGGTGGTGCAACAAGCATTCTTATCATATATCAGTTTAATCAAGAGGCGACAAGACGTTTCGCATAACAATAGAAATTAAGTAATTCCCACGGGGGCCAAGTCTTTAGACATGTATCATGGTTTTCTTTTCAAGGTTTAGATCTATGAACATCATGGTAATCTTGCTGTCAATCTAAAATGGTTGTGGCCGCGTGCCAACGTTGTGCTGTATAAATCAACTTCATTACCACAATACGCCCCAATCGCTTCACCAATGTTTAAATAGCTCGTAAAATAAACAAGCAAGAAATTTTTGTAGGAATTCAAAACGCCAGAATCTATGCGCTAATCACCAGCGTCACAGTCTCCTTCTCCTTTTCGGTGACGGTGACGGTAGCCTGGTCCTTTTCTGTGACTGTCACTGTGAAGTAGACCGATACAGTCGGAGTGCCATCGACGACAATGGTTGTAGCGTGAGCATCGTCGCCAGTGCGTGTTCCAGCAGCGGGCTTCTTGTCATCTTCGCTGCCTTGATTGTCGACTTTAGCCTCTGTCGCAGCAGGAGACGGGGCATCCGTAGGCTTGTCGGGAATGGGAATAAGAACAACCGATGTGGGCTTGTCATCATTATCATCATCACCATCATGGCCATCTTTACCATTGTCGTTGCCGTCCTTTCCTTTTTTATCATCATCGTCTGGTGAGCCGGTGGGCTTGGCTTCATCAGGCTTCTTGATGGACTTGGTCAAGGTTGTGCCACCGGGGAGAGGGACAGACGTGGTACTTTGTTCAGCAACTGGGGCAGAAGTGGGAGGTAGATCTTCATAGGCCTTTGTTGGTTGAGGGTTGGAAGGCCCCGCTGGGTTTGTCTGACTGGGTTTCTCCTCTGATGGTTGGGATGGCTGTGCCTCGGCTGGCTGCGTCTGAGCCGGTTGACTAGGTTGCTCAGGGGCAGGCTGAGTGGACTTCTCTGGAAAAGGTTGAGATTGAGAAGGCTCCTCAGGAGCTGACTGGCTTGTCTGTTCAGGGGCGGGTTTGGTAGGCTGTTCGGGCACAGGCTGTGGCTGCGATGGCTGTTGAGCAGGCTGAGAAGGTTGGTCTTTAGCAGGTTCTCCAGTCGGTTCGGGGGTTGCGCCGTCATCGACAGTAACTATGGTCGTAACAGTAACCACGGGAACCGCGGGCTTCTCGGCGGCTGATGTAGTTGCAGGCTGCTCCTTGCCTCCATTCCCGTTTCCGGGAACACTGTTGTCCTCACCACTGCTTGGAGTTCCCCCAAGAATTTTAGCAGCAGTCGCAGGATCTTCGCAGACAATCTTGATTCCACCCTCAAAGTTGTACAGAGGAAGAGCGAAGCACTTCTCGCCTTTGGTATTACAAGGTGTGAGCTGGAATTTGCCAGTGTCATCACATACACCGGTTTGTCCGTTAATGCAAGCAGCCTGGCCCTTCATACACGAAGACTCGGGTGTGAGTTTGGCAAATTCCTCGTTATATGTGCGAGCATCGACGACGTTGCTGGCATACGCAGAAGCAGGTATGGTACTGGTTCCTGTGGGAACACCAGGGTTGATGGTTGGAACGCCGTTGGCCGATGTTCCAGGGGGGACTACCTTGGGTGCCGAAGTCGTCTCAGGGGATGAGGGGTCAGAGACAGGGGCGGTGCTGGTAGGCGGTGCAGCGGGAACTGCAGGCTGAGTATTGGAGTCAGGTGCAGGATATTGGGGCTGACCATTGGAAGGGACTGGAGCTGGCTGCTGAACTGCTGAAGTGACTGCAGGCGCCTCAGGCTGTTGGACCTGGGATGTAACTGGGGTCTCTGGCTGAGCTTGAGCTGGTTCCGAAGTAGGAGCTGGGTTCTGGGGCTGGGAGGGAGCAGTTGAAACTGGATTGCCAGGCTGAGACTGAGCAGGCTGTGAAGTAGGAACCGGGTTTTGAGGCTGAGCTGGTGCAGTAGTAGCAGCTGGAGTATCAGGCTGCTGACTACCAGGGGTTTCCACAGGAACATAAGACTGTTGAACTTCAGAGGTCGGAGCAGGATTGCTGGGCTGAGCAGGTTCGGAGACTGGGGTCTGGGTCTCAGGTTGAGCAGCATCTGAGGTTGGGGCAGGCTGACTTTGTGCATCAGATGTCGTCTGGGACTGGGGTTCTCCAGGTTGAACTACAGACACAATCTGAGTTGTACCCGCAGAAGACTCCGCCTCAGGGGCTGAAGTCTCCTTCAGGGGGCCTTCAGATGTCGTGGGAGACTTGGGATACACTTGAGTAGGGTGTTTAGGGTTGACCGGGAAAGCTGTATCCGAAGGTGCCTTGGTTGTAAGATAACCAGTAGGGGTCGGCTGATACGCAAAGGTAGTTGTTTCTTCTTCAACAGCAGAGGTGGGTTGCTCGTTTCCTGGGGCTGTTGTGGCGGGAGCAGAGGGCGCTTCAGGGGCCGTGGTCTCTTCAACGGCGCTTGGCTGAGTCTTCCCCCCATCTGAAGGTCGAAGTGTACCAAGATCGAGGGTAGAGGACAGACTCTGAGTCTCTGTATTCTCTGGCTTCTGAGCTGCTTCGGTCGTAGGAACCTCGGGCACTACAGTCGTAGCATCGTTGACTGGTTGGGATGTCGGTGCCTCGTTTCCAGAGGTGGGGGCCTCTTTGGTAACTGGGTGAGTCTCGGAGACAACTGAAGTATCTTTGGGAGGTTCATAGTCTGATTGTCCAGCCGAGGTTGGCTTCTCAACCACAGTGGTAGGGTCCTTAGGCACGATTGAGGTTGTGAGAACCGGTGCAGAAGGGTTCTGCGTAAAAGTTGGCTTAGTTCCAGGCTCTTGGGTCGATTCTTGAGCCTCACTAGTCGGCTCAGGGGCATCACTGGTTGGCTGGACAGGGATAACCTCGATGGGCTCGGGGAGATCAGAGTAAGGGCTCTTCTTCTTGTCGTCACCTTGGTTTTCCGAGAGCAAAGGATTTGGTTCGGGTGTTGAGTTCAGCGTCTCAAAGACAGGACGAGGCGTAGTTTGATCTCCACTGCCACTACTGTGATAAATTGTTAGATATGAATCCTCACGATTTGTCTCCGAATTTGATCCATACCCGTATCCGTCGTGAGCTGCAGTGGGAGCTTGTGAATTTTCCATCCTGACGTCAAGAAAAGCGCCAGGGTTTCTTTTTTCTCTGTCACCCGAGTTAGAAACAGTAGTTGCAGAAGCATTATGAGTTTCTCCGTACATTCTACCCGTCCACATAGGGCCAGCCTGCGCGGACTGAGCAGTCAAAAGGAGTGACAAGGCCACGGCGAGCCTTGATCTATTACACCGCATTGTGAAGAGTATGTCGATAGTAGTATAGGCTTGCTGAAGAGAATGAGCGTGTTGGTGAAATCGAAAAGATCCGTTCGTTTAAAATCGTTCGACGGTTCGTGAGTCAAAGTTGTTATAAGTCGTGTGAAATAGTTTGATAGTTGCACGAAAAGAATAATGTACGAGTTCGTCGATATCGCTTCCTCCCAACTTCAAGCTGATTAAGAGTAATTAGGAATTGTCTCCAAACAGAACAAAACACAGCACAACACAACAGAAAAAGAGCCACTTGTTCAGTTTCCTGGTGCTGAAGCACGCACAAACAGTGAAGACAAGGGAGCTTGTTCGCAGCGTCAAAGATGACGAACAGTAGAATAAGAACAAAGCGGGTGAATGAAAGGAACAGATTGAGTATGAAAGAGAGTCACACAAAATAGAGAGAGATAGAAAATACTTGACAAAGGAAAAAAGAGAAAGAGGAAGAGGAAAAGAAAAAGGAAAAGACGAAAGTGATCAGGGCTAGTCAGTGAGTGAGTGAGTGTGTATTGTATGCTGAGAGTACTAGGAGTGAAACCATTCACACAAAGTTGGTGGTGACACTCTGTTAATGTATATGCAGAGCTTGCCCCTAAGAATCACTCATGTCCAATTAGCGCCAGCAAAAGACGATGAATCGCCTCACACAAGTCTCATGTCGTATCGGATCTCATATTTTCATGGCCCATGGAGTCTCTCTCTCTCTCTCTTGAACCATCCATGAATAGCCCTGCCCTGTCCGCCAGCCACGCCTGAGTATCAACAGGCGCCCAATCCAAATACCCCAGCAATTTACATGTAAAACATTTACAAGAAAATATCCGAAAACCCTCAGCCAATCAAGCTTGTCTCGGCTCTTTCAAGCTGTACTATAAAAGACTGGCTCTAAGCGCTCTGTTTCAACAGCTTATTCGCGGCCTGTTCCTATTGGCGGCACAGACTCCACTGCGGCCGGGACCTACAGTAGCTGCCAATCGTCCCCTCTCCACTGAACCGACCTGCGGCCTTGTAGGCTTTTAGTGCCTGTTACAGGGTTCCGTGATGCCTTCATGGATACATAGGCAAATCTGGCCTGGTCTTCTCTTTTCTTCTCTTCTCTTCTCTTCTCTTCTCTTCTCTTCACGAAATCATGCTTTTTCCGGCTTGGTCGACCCATAGTTGGCCTGGGCGGTCTAGACCTGATCAGCCCTTCTCATTTCCCCTTTCATGCTTCCTCCCTGAGTGGCGCGTTAAGAATAGATGACCTCCAGAGCCGTCGTCTCGGGCCCTTCATCATTTGGCGATAGCCGCCCGTTAGTAGCGTAGATGGGTAAAGAAAAGTATTCAGCCAGATTCATGGACCGTGGCTCAGCTCCTAGCCTTTAAGCTACTAAATAGACAGATCCCTTTTACATCGAAATTTGATTGCTTCTTTTTCTACCGTCGTTTCAGCCAACAGACGCCTTTTTCATGGATGTTGTACAATATTCTATACATATACGATAAACGCCACCGCGTCTACACTCCGCCATCAATCTTGGGTTTATATTGAACCAAGACCCTAGGTTCCCAGCAATGATCCTTGTTCGCCACTTCGGAGGACTGACCTCTTCCTACACTCTCCATGGGTGCTAAACTGGTGCTCAGCAGTCTCATGCTTGTTTTCAATGGCATCCAGGTCTAAATCCTCGACATTGGTGAGCAGGTTATTCTGTCGATTGTGCTCTCGGATGCGAGCCCACTTGAGAACTCGACCCAACTCTTCATGTCCGTGAACGGCATTGGCCTGGATATACGACTGTACCATCTGCTCACCTGGCCATTGCCAGATCCCAATCTGGAATCGGACGTCTCGTACGCGATTGCGCACTTCGTCAGTCAACATGGGTTCCGCAAACGCACGATACGCACAAAGAGTCTCCAGCATGTCCACGTCGTGAGGCAACTCCTCCATGTTTATCATCTCGTCTTCTTGTGACTGTAGAGGGCCCCATTCCGTCATGAGCCATATTGTCAACTGAGCCATTTCATTATACTCCCCTGCAAACGCCAGCGACTGCATCAGGTCGTGAGCAAAGGGCGCCAACACGGGATCTCGCCGTGATCGCATGATATCCACAAAGGATAGATCTGTAGTTTCTTCTGCTTCGGGTCGCTGCCTCTCCTGTTCCTCGGCAACGAGTGCATGATAGAAGCCTTTCATACGTGAAATAAGAACACAAAATAGATGCAGAGCTGAGTTGCTCCCTGTCTCCGTGTCTGTCTCGGTGTTGGTACCATGTTCCTTGGCGTTTCTGGAATAAAGGGCGCCAAGTAAGTTGAAGTTGGTGTTGTTGGCTTCCACAGCGCTCGCCAGCACCTGTAGCTCTCTTCGCAAAATCTTCCGCAGGGTTCTCACAAATCTGTTGAAGAGAAATAGAGTCATCCCCTGCACGGCATCGATACGATCCACAAGGTGTATGATCAGACGAAGCTGTGCCTCCAGGGTGAGTTTCAGGCCATAATGATGCTGCCCGACATTCTTCATGATAGGTGCCCAGACATGAGGTAGCCAGTTCTGGTTCCTGCGGCCCACACGCAGCTCTGCGAGCCTAATGGCGCGTATTAGATTACTGCCTTTGGGGTGCACTGTCTTGGACAGCACATCCACATACGCTGAGAACAATGGCAGGGGAATAGCCTTCAGCATGTCAGCTGATGGTTCGGGTACCAACAAGTGAGCGTAGTTATGGTGATCTGTGCTTCCGTCTCGCAGATAACGATGAGCTTCTTGGAGAGTTTGGGCATTTGCCACTAGAATGTGAAGAATGTGTTCATCGGGCAGCAATCCATCGCATTTCATCATCTCATACAACTCTTGAGGTGTCGGGGGCTGTTGTCGCAGCTTCTCCAGTTCCGTCAAATTCATGTTCTCATTTGTAGGATGGCTCAGAGAATTGTCTCCCGGTAAGGTGCCTTTTTCTGGATCAGCATCACGAGCAAATGATCTCCGGAACATGGCTGCATATTCTGGCAGCCCAGGAGTCATGCCAGCTTTTGGAGGTTGGCAGAACTGCTTCCATGCTTCATGGGCGTTGCGGGTAGCAATGATTGATGCTTGCCAGACCGAAAGATCTTGCTCGGGATCTACTTTGACCTGCTGCTGAATTGCTGGGGTACCACTAGGGGTTAAGCCTAGCAGAATATCCAATGCGCTGTCAGTCTCCTGTTTGGAGAATCCTGCTTCCTGCATCATCATCCCTGCCCGGACAACGCGAGACCAGCTCTCTTCTGCTTCCATGGCCTCGTCCATACCGTCTGCTGGCCGCAGATACGGCGGCCATGACTTTGAATACCGTGTGGCGTTGTGGATCTCGTCTCTATTCTTTGGCATCCCGGATAGCACAGTTCTGATTGCGCGGAACGCATTTCTGTCGACCAAAAGGGCTTCCGGGAGACTGCCAGACATTCTCAGAAGAGTACGTTGAGCCTCCCAGACATACGCATAGGGTACAGACGCATGCTGTGGCCCAGATCCGCTATTCCGGGCAATAGCCGTCAGGCCGGCATTGAAGTACTTGCATCTCATCCAGTACGTCTGTTCGGCAGAACCTATTTTGTAGTTGAAAATGAATTCCGCCATTATACCGGCAAGCACAATCAAGCGCCTTGCTTCTATACGACGACAGTGAAAGGCAAGTCGTTCCATGATGATCATGAAATCTTCTGTCGTGAATCTTTCCATTTCACTGCTTGCACGTCCTCTACCCCAGGAGATCTTGCGAGCCTTCTCGGTCGTAGCGCGTAACCGTTCCTGAACATACTCCAAAAGGTGGTCCAAAGTCGAGATTTTGCTAATGCCCGATCCCAATCTTAGCAGATAGTTCAGCATGAAGACGGGTTTCGGAGACATATCTGCCAAGAATAGTCGGCATCGGTCTTCGTCGGTTTTGGCGAAAAGTATACTCATGTACTCGTTCAGTCGCTCCTCTGTATTTCCGCTGTATTCAAGGGTGTTCATCAGGGCTTCCCATTCCGAATTGGTTGGCAGCGCTTGGGCAAGATCTCGGTTGTTTTCGGGGTCGGCTTCCACCTGCTGTCGAAGGTGCATTTGAATCACGACAACCGGAAGACGCACAGTTCGGATGGCGGCAATTTCTAAAAGCGTTTCTCGAGACGGTTGTTCCAGAGCAAGAAATTTACGAAGTAGAACTGCAGGACTTTGCTCTACCCAGCCTTTGAGCATCCTCAACCGTCGCTCAATTCGCCCGCGCCCATTGTCTTGACTGAAGTCTGAGAACTTAAAAGCATTCTCCGGATCGTACAAGCGCTTTGGCAGCACTTTCTTGCGGCGCTTTTGATAGTCGTCGAGACGACGGCCGTTGACTATGGCGGTCTCGAGTGCGTCCAAAGAGGATACATATCGGCGGGCTTGGGCTGAGTTTAGGTGCGAAGCGTACTGAAAGAGTTAATTGTAAGCTTTACATCGTAAAAACGAAAGAAAACTCGGCTTTTGATATTCACCTTGGTTTGGGTTGTCACGTTTTGCGACAAGTGCCACCCTCGCCTCAGCTCCCGGGTTGCACTTCTCAGCATTTCTCGCCCATTTCTTCAAAGCCTATGACACAGCTAAGAAGTTTATATATAGCGTAGCAATCAAGTGCGGAAGTTGTGATATCTGCGGCGGCGTCGACAAAGTTGCGAAGTTCGATTTCCAGCTGCATCTGCGGGAACAATTTGCATGCGCCAATCGAGATTATCGGCGTATCGGGCAGCCCATCTTCATCTCATTGACAGCCAATCCGAGGTAGCTCCCAGCACTTCAGCTCCTGTGCTCCACCAAGACGAGGTAGGTCCCTTATTATTAGCTTCATAACTTCATAAATCCTTGCCTTCTGTGCCTCCGTACATCAGGATTTCTAAAGTTGTTATCGAATTTGTGTGTTTTTATTCTTTTCCGGAGCAAAGCTTCTGCCTAACAATTCGTGTGATACTTTTGGTGCGCTAGATCTGTTGCTAATTCTCAT